TTTTTTTTTTTTTTTTCTTTTTTCTATATTGGTGCAACATAAGAGATTTTCAAGAGTTTAAACATCATAGTACTTTTGTCCAAACATACTTAACTTTTGATTATGTGACAGGGCTTTTAGTCACTGAGATTCAATCTGTCGGTTATGATTCAAAATAATTAGTGGACATTAAGGAGAAAGAAAGTGGCTAGCTGTTATGGGGGGGTTTTTATATTTTTTTATGATGCCTTTAAATTGCTTTTATAATCAATTCTGTAGTAACGTTTGAGTGGTAGTTTAAATATGATGTATTTGGTATTATTGTCAAGAAGTGAAATTGTTTGAGAAGTTTTCCTGTTTTTCTATTCCTGCGCCAACATAATCTTTCTAAAGATTCCAAATAGAAGCATACTGCTGCTTATGTAGCCTTAGGCTATATTAGTTCTACGAATTTTGCTAATTTTGGCGGAGGGAAGCATAGAGTATCTGTAATGCATCAGAGTGCGTTCTATTTGAGCTTTTGTTATGATCAGAAAATTAGTACTAAACCTGTTCAATGTAATTATATTTCAATTGGGTTTTCTTTCCCTATTGTCTGCTCTCATTTTTTTTTCCCCAATCAGATTGTTTTGCTTATGTTTTTGTTGGTTAATCAATGTGATTCAAATCATTCTAATTTTTCTTTCAACTACAACAGGAACTGATCATTCAACTTCTTAACTTTGTAGAAGATACTATAGTGCATTTTCCAGACACAAAGTGATGTTGCCTATATATGTACACATTCCCCAGATTTTATCCAGCCGCAGATAATCCTCTTACTACATCGTAATAATATAAAAGAGACCTCTGTAATTTATATTCCAACCTTGTAAAATCACATTATATGATTTATGTACAACATTGTATTCTATTGTTCTATACAATTAGGCAGCGACGGCTCTGTAAATATTTTTTTACCAATATCACAATATATAAACCTACAAATAAAATTAACTAATATGTTTAATTTTTTTAAGAAAACATACGGACAATATCTTTTCTAATTTAAATAGATATTAGTCACACTTCAAATATTAATTAGGACACTAAAACTTTCCACCGATACATATTTATGAAATTGTAAAAATTTCTCTAGTAAAATCACTGGTGACATAACAGTGATTTTAGAATACATCCGCCACCCTAACTTTTAGGTTATCAAAATATTTGCATGGATAGAAGTTTGTTACGTATGATTGCGGAAACTTGTCATTTCTTACACGTTGCACTTCTTTGTTTGACATACAATAATGAACATGCTATTTATTGTAATTGTGGATATAACTAACCCTTTTACGCTTTACTAATAAAATGGGATTTAAATAATTGAAAGTAGCTGAATTGTAGAAAGTATCAACTGAAATAACGTCCGTATCCAAACTGAATTAACTACTCTATGTTTGATTCAATAAAGTCAAAATAAACTTTAAATATCTATTATTAAACATTGATAAATTATTTTTGTCTAATTTTGGTGTATATAGTATATTCAATATGCCAATGTAATGTGTTCTTATAAAGTTCCCTTATGTACCAGCACTTAGATTTGGATATTTATATATTACGTGTCTTATATCTAATTTCTAGAGCTCAAAATTGTTTTTAGGGATAGTTAAGGTGCTGATTGACTCTACTTATCACATAGTAAATGTATACATAACATATGGCTAGAATTAATACTATTATCATGTGTCGTCAGTCAATTCTATGTATAGTGATACGTGTGATATATGATAAGATCAATGATGGCATGCATTATCAGTATTTATACTTTCAACATGTATTTTTGTCTTGCAAGCAATTAGTGAAGGCAAATTATATAAAATAAAAAGAGAATAATAAAATATATGGGGATAATCAAGAAATATTCACTCAAAAATTATATATATCAATTTACTTACACATCATATATATATATATAAACAATTCAAACTACTGCCATAAATATATTTATTACCCTCATTAACTTATAATTCAAACTTCAAATTCAAATTATTCATCAATAATATTTAATTAACCAATTAAATTATAATTTAATTAAAAATTCAATTTAATTTTCCATCAAATGTCTCCCGTAAATTGAATTGGCTCTTGACTCCCAAAGCAGCAACATTTCTTGAGAAAGCGGGTCCACCAAACGGTTTTGTGAAGATGTCAGCCAACTGCTCTTCAGTTGGGCAATATGTAATGTCAATGTCACCTTCATTAACAAGATCCCTTAAGAAGTGAAAGCAAAGACGGATGTGTTTTGATCTTCCATGAAAGACCGGATCTTTGGAAACAGAGATAGTCGATTTATTGTCACAGAACAATGTTGTAGCAGCATGCTCCTTGAAGCTCAAACTCTCAAGGATTCCTCTAAGCCACACAATTTGACTCATGGCCAAAGATGCCGCTATGTACTCTGATTCGGTGGTGGAAAGTGCCACAATTGGTTGTTTTTTCGAACTCCGTGAAACAACTCCACCTCCAAGATTAAACACATAGCCAGATGTACTTCGAGAATCATCACAGCTTCCTCCCAAGTCACTATCCATATAGCCAACAAGTTTGATGGGAACGTTAGCTTCATAATATATGCCATAATCCAATGTCCCTTTCATGTACCTTAAAATTCTTTTGGCAGCCTCCCAATGATTCGAGAATGGCTTCTCCATGAATCTGCTAACCAAGCTCACAGCGAACATGATGTCAGGCTGAGTGGCTGTAAGGTACATCAAGTTTCCGATTAGGCTGCGAAACATTGTTGTGTCAACCATCTTCCCTTCTCCATTTTTGCTCAACTTCAAACCTGTTACGCAAGGGGTTGTTACTGGATTGGCATGCTCCATATTGAATTTTCTTAGAACCTCAACTGCATGTTTTTCTTGAGAAATGAAAATTCCAGATTTTGATTGTTCAACCTTGATCCCAAGAAAACGATGCAATTCTCCCAAATCACTCATCTCAAATTCCTTCATTATAGCCGCTTTAAAATTCTTAAGCGTCTCAAATCATTTCCAGTGAAGATAATCGACAACATAAAGGCTCACAATCATAACACCGCCATTGCAACATTTTTTGACATAGAGAGTATGCTCGAGTGGGCATCTCTCAAAGCCAAACTTCAAGAAAAAATCATTAATCCTTCCGTACCATGCTCGAGGCGACTGCTTCAACCCATAAAGGGCTTTTATGAGTTTATAAACTTTGTGTTCCTCGTCTTTTCGAACAAATCCAGGAGGTTGCTCCAAGTAAATTTCTTCTTGAATAAACCCATTCAAGAATGCGGATTTCACATTCATTTGGAATAATTTCCAACCATTTTGAGCTGCAAGTGAAAGAATCAATCGAATCGTATCAAGCCTAGAAACGGGAGCAAATACCTCATTAAAGTCTTCTCTTTCTTTTTGCTTGTAGCCCTTTGCAACCAATCTTGCTTTATATTTGTTGACTGATCCATCAAGATTTGTTTTTGTCTTGAACACCCATTTTACACCAATTGGAGATTTATGTTGAGGCAAATTTGTAAGCTCCTAAGTGTCATTCTTCCCAACGGAATTAATCTCCTCTTTCATGGCTTGCACCCATTTCTTCTCCTTCGCTGCTGCTTCAAACGAGATTAGATCTACCTCTGCAAAGAAAACAAAGTACACTTGGTTTGGCCCATCAATCGCTTCAGTTTCATCGTAAAGTTCTCTCAAAGTCCTTGTCCTTCTCGCCGTTGGAGCTGCAGAATTTTCAGCAGGTTCTTTTTCACCAATGTTTTGCTGCATTTGTTGAGTATCAACATCTTCAAAATTAAGAACCTGCCAATGTGAGAATTCTGATGATAAATTTGAAAAATCATAGGAAGCATTCTCATCAAATCGTACATCCCTGCTGATCACAATTTTCTTTGATTTTGGGTTATACAACTTGTAAGCTTTTGTTCTCATACTATACCCAATGAATATGCATTTTTCAGATTTATCATCAAGCTTACTCCTCAAAGAATTTGGGATGTGTGCATAGGCAACGCTACCAAATGTTTTCAAGTGGCTAACATTCGGTTTCTTCCCATACCACACCTCATTCGGAGTATAATTCTCCAAACTCTTTGTCTACGATCGATTGATCAAATAGACAGCACATGAGACTGCCTCTCCCCAAAATTCAGCTGGCATATTTTTCCTTTTCAGTATGCATCGAACCATATCCATGATGGTTCTATATTTTCGTTCGGCAATGCCATTTTTTTGTGGTGAATATCGGGCTGTCAATTCATGTTGAATCCCATGGTTCCGACAGAATTCCTCAAACATTGAGGACATGTATTCCTCTCCACGATCACTTCGCAGGGTTTTTATGTGAGAACTAGTAAATTTCTCAACCTGAGCTTTAAATTCTTTGAAACAAGGAAGTGCATCAGATTTTTCTTTCACCAAATAAACCCAAACTTTCCTTGTGAAGCCATCAATAAACAACAAGAAATATCGGTTACCTCCAAGCGATGGAACTTTAATTGGCCCGCATAAATCCGTGTGAACCGGTTCCAAAGGCATTTTTTATTTCCAATCAGATTTTGATGGGAAAGACTCTCGATGTTGCTTTCCCAAGTGGCACTTTTCACAAACTTCTTGACTCCTCCGATTTTGAGCAGTCCATATATAATCGATTTATTCGACAACTCCTGCAAGCTCCCAAAATTAAGGTGCCCAAACCTGTCATGCCACAGCTTGGAGATTTGCTCATTAACAGCAAGATTTCCAGCATTATTTAAGATATCAAGCTTCAAAGCAAACAAATTTTTTGCTCCCAAACCAATTTTTGCTGTGATTTGATTTTTCTTCTCCATAGTGCAAAAGTTGTCAACAAAATGAATATCAATCCCCTTTTTTCATTAAGTGGCCAACACTTAACAAATTGCTTTGTAATCCAGGAACATAAAATACCTCAGACATTTTCTCAAGTCTCCCATTTTTCGCCTTGAATGAGATTTCTCCAACGCCTTCGATCTTTTATGCCTTGGCATCTCCAATAATAACCTGCCCATGATTAGCTTCGACAATAGTGGAAAACAGATTTTTATTTCCAGTCATGTGTTTGGTTGCCCCGCTGTCCAAATACCAAATATCCCCAATATTTCCATTTGAAGCAATCAACAATGTTTCTGTATTTTCGACTCCTTTCTCATGCACAAAACCATTTTCACGCCTCTTTTCTGGATATTTTTCCCAACAATCAGAAATTTTATGTCCAGGTTTGTGACAATAATAGCACTCTACATAAGGTTTTGTACCTTTATAGTTACCACGCCCTCTTCCTCGTTGGGTGAAAGATCGTAATTTTTCATCTTCACGCCGCTCTTTATTTTCTGTAGGTGGTTGGCCACCCCTTCCTCGTCCCCAGCTTTGATTTCGTGCTCGCCCGTGTCCACGAAAGAAACCATGCCCTCCCGTAAATTGGGACTTCAAAGCGTGATCTTGAGAAGTGGAACTTTGAGAATTCCTTTGAAGTATTCTTACTTCATGGGCCTCCAATCTTCCTTGCAAACTTTCTAACGCCATCGAAGAGAGATCCTGCGACTCCTCTATTGCTACCACAACATGGTCGAATTTACTTTGTAGGCTAAGCAAGATTTTCTCGACTATCCGTTGGGTTTCAACTTCTCCATTTGATGCCATTTGATTCACAAGAGAATTCGCTCTAGTAAAATAATCTCCAATTTTTTCGTTATCTTTCATCTCCATATTTTCAAATTCAGCCCTTAATGATTGCAAGCGAAGTTTTTTTACTTGATCTTGCTCAGAGTATGTTGTTTGTAGGATGTTCCATGCTTCTTGTGCACTTCCAGCCTTATAGTCTTTCATAGACTGGAATCTCAATAGAGAGCTTGTCTGTCTTGTTGCCTTCTGTTCCTCAGAGAATTTCTTTCGGCAGCAGTGAGTCGGGATTCGTCCTCTGGAGCACCGACACCATCTTCCACAACACTCCATAAGTCTTGAGATTCAAGACATAATTTCATGAGATTGCTCCAATAATCAAACTTTTCGCCATTGAATCGAGGAACGAGATAAACTAGATTGTTGGACATATCCGAAGCTCTGATACCAATTTGAAGGCAAATTATATAAAATAAAAGGAGAATAATAAAATATATGGGGATAATCAAGAAATATTCACTCAAAAATTATATATATCAATTTACTTACACATCGTGTGTATATATATATAAAAACAATTCAAACTACTACCATAAATATATTTATTACCCTCGTTAACTTCTAATTCAAAATTCAAATTCAAATTATTCATTAATAATATTTAATTAACCAATTCAATTATCATTTAATTAAAAATTCAATTTAATTTTCCATCAATTAGAGCATGTGCTTTGGGTCTTTTTATTATATACTAATTCGGATTACTTTGATTAATTCTAATTAGAACCGTAAGTGCTGCTGTTTTTTAAATGTATGAAGAAGAACTAATGAACATTCAAGGTGGTTCTAAGTACCATTTTCTCTCACTTTTTAGGAATTTCTTGTACAGAGGTGGGTTTCCGCAAGTTGATCTGCCAGATAAACTGAGGCCGAAAATATTTTCTATCAGATGCTATATATATAAAATGTTGGAAGAGAGTTGCAGTCTCCACTATTCGACAAGTCTTGTGCATGTATACTTACTTTATGATACAAACATATTCTGTCACAGCCACTCAGTCTATTAATGATCACTCCAGCCTGAATTAAACTGCTAAAGTATGCTATCTTAAGCCCTCCACAAAGATCTTACATGAGCTAAATGCTCTTTAGTTACCATTGCCGAAATATATTCCAGTTCCTACCAGGTGGTTACCGAAATATATCTGATTGAATAATATACTGCTATGCAGCTTATTTGCTTATTTCCTATTTACATCCGGTCTTGTCTTTCAGGTTTTGGGACCAGGTTGCCATGGCCTGCTCATCCTAGCTCATGGAATACCAAGGCCTCTAATACTAAAATACGATGTCGCATTAGAAGTAGTCCAGTTCAGATTTATTAACATTCTTGAATCAAATTGAGATGTCAAATGTGTTGGGTATGATAGATAGTAGAAGAACTTGCAAAAGAAAATATTACGTGTTGCTCACTATGTTTTTCTGGATAAGTTCTTTTTTCACTCACAATGAAGTAAGGATTACATCCATATGTATAACCAAGAGACTTTCTAGACAACTCCATAGGACTCTTGATCTTCGTGCCATTACTTCAGGGTATTATTATTGGCAATTACTAGAACTTAAAGTTCATATTAACTATTCTGAAAGTTACAAATTATTGGTTCAACACCGTCTCTTAATTTGTAATTTTCAAATGTTGTTTGTGCTTCTCCATCTTCTCCGCACCAAGGGGTTTGGTGAGAATATCAGCCGGTTGCTCACTTGAATTGATGAATTCAATGTTTGTTTCCCCTTTCGCCACAAGGTCTCGAATAAAGTGATGACGTAGTTCAATGTGTTTTGAGCGAGCATGAAACACGGGATTCTTTGTTAGTGAAATAGCCGACTTGTTGTCACAGAAGATTGTCGTTGCACCTTTTTGCTTAAATTGCAAATCTTCCAGCATTCTCCTAAGCCACACTCCTTCACAAGCCGCTTCAGTAATAGCAGAGTACTCGGCTTCGGTAGATGATAGTGCTACTGTTCTTTGCTTCCTTGAACACCAAGATATTGGTGATTTCCCAAGACAAAATATATATCCTGTGGTACTCTTTCTATCATCAATCGAGCCACCCCAATCGCTATCAACATAGCCAACCAAATTGCAATCGTTTTCTTTTCCATATAGAACACCGAGCTTCCTGGTTCCTTGAAGATAACGCAGAATTCTTTTTGCTGCTGCAAAATGATTTTTTCTTTGATCATTCATGTACCTGGACACCACACTAACTGCAAAAGCAATGTCTGGCCTCGTGTGAGTTAAATAGATGAGAGATCCCACTAAACTTCAAAAGAGATAAACATCCACTTTTTCCGAGTCATTTAACTGCTGGAGTTTTTCATTTGTTGCCATAGGCGTGGACATGGGTTTGCAAGTAGCCATGTGGAATCTCTTCAAAATATCAACGTCTTTTTCTTGTGATAGAAAAATTTTTCCTTCGCTTTGCCTTACTTGCATTCCCAAAAAATACTTCATTGTCCCCAAATCTGTCATCTCAAATTCCATCTTCATCTTCTGCGTAAAACTCTCCAGCAATGATTCGTTAGTTCCGTAATAAATCAAATCATCAACATATAAACAAACGACAAGAAAATCACCCCCTTCTTTCTTGATGTAGAGTGAGGGCTCATTTGGACTTTTCTGAAAACTGCAGCTTGCAAAGTAGCTGTCAATTTTGTTGTTCCAGGCTCGCAGAGCTTGCTTTAGCCCATATAAAGCTTTTCGAAGTCGGTAGACTTTCTCCTCGCTCTTTTTCACGACAAATCCTTCAAGCTGCTCTACATAAACCTCTTCCTCCAATTCTCCATTTAGGAAAGCGGACTTCACATCAAATTGATAGATTTTCAATCCATAATGGGCTGCAATTGCTATAACAGTGCGAATGGTCTCCATTCTCGCCACCGGAGCAAATGTTTCATTGAAGTCGACGCCGGGCTGTTGCGAGTACCCTTTGGCAACAAGACGTGCCTTGTGTTTCTGCACTGAACCATCCTCATTAAACTTTGTTTTGTAGATCCACTTCAGCCCAACAACATCCTTCCCTTCCGGTAAATTGACAAGTTCCCACGTTCGGTTCTTTTTAATCATATCAATTTCTTCGTTCATTGCTTGTACCCAGAATTTTTCTTTTGCAGCTTCTTGAAAGTTCTGTGGTTCATGACAGAAAAATGCAAAATTGCATGAGGAGTATATGTCCTGCAAAGGTCGTACCTTCAGAATTGGATTTTCTGAATCCGGTTCTTCATCATTTGGATTTGGTTGAGCCGAAGTTGGACTGGCAGGAGCATTCTCGCACTGAGTTGTGCGCTCATTCTGTAATCGCAATGGTTCTGTAAACTGGCCAGGCTGATTTGATGGCTGTTCATAATCTGAATCATTCTTGGTCTTCCAATCCCATGCTCCACTTTCATCGAATATGACATCTCTAGAAACAGTCAGCCGATTTTCCTTTGGATCGAAAAGTCTGTACCCCTTGCTTTCATCACTGTAACCAATGAAAATATATTTCTCACCCTTCTTGTCGAACTTCTCACGTTTCTGAGCTGGTACATGAGCAAAGGCTATGCTTCCAAATATCTTCAAATGATCGACCACCGGCTTTCTCTTATTCCACGCCTCGAACGGAGTCTTGTTTGGCACAGCTTTGGTGGGTGATCTGTTTAGCAGATAAACAGCAGTATTAACTGCTTCAGCCCAAAAATTATTTGGAAGTCCTTTCCCTGTCAACATGCTCCGAGCCATCTCAACTACAGTGCGATTTTTTCTTTCAGCGACCCCATTTTGTTGTGGGGTATAACTCACAGTAAGCTGTCTCGAGATGCCATGTTCCTTGCAATGTTGTAGGAATGGAGTAGATATAAACTCTCCTCCATTGTCAGTTCGGAGTGTTTTTATTTGGCAGCAACTTTGATTCTCTGCCATAGCTTTGAACTTCAAAAAAGATTCGAATGCCTCTGATTTTTCTTTCAAAAAATATACCCACATCATCCTCGTGAAATCATTGACAAACAAGATAAAATATCTCTTCTCGTTGATCGATGGTGTCTTCATAGGGCCGCATATATCCGAGTGTACCAGCTCAAGTGGTGCTTTGGCTCTCCATGACGTTTTGGGAAATGGCAATCGATGCATTTTCCCATAGATACAACCTTCACATATTTTTTCTTCATGATGAACATCCGGTAATCCCAGAACCATTTTTCTTTGCTTCAAAAGCCGCAGCCCTGCCATATGTAAGTGACCATATCTTAAATGCCACAAGAATGAATTTTCCACGACTTCATTCTTCAAAGCAAACTGATTGCTTGAAGGCATAGTCATCGGAAAAACTTTGTTTGCAGACATCTCAACTTCAGCCACCAAGTCATTATTCTTCGTGAAAATTCTTGCCATTCCATCACCAAAAATGACCAAATAACCACTTTGTATAAGCTGCCCCACACTCAAGAGGTTTTGCGCTAGATTAGGCACATAAAGAACATCAAGAATTAATTTTTTGTTACCTCCTTTGGTAAAGACTGCAATCGTGCCCTTTCCTTCAGCGCTTTGAACATTTTCATCTCCAAGCTTTACGTGTGAAGTACAGCTCCTGTTAAGTTGCTCAAATTGGCTTTCATTACTTGTCATGTGGCTACTACAGCCACTGTCCAGATACCATAGGTCGGATTTCTGATCTTCATCTTTTTCGCTCGTGTAAAATAATGTCTCAGATTCGGCATTCTGCTCCTTCAAGAAATTTGCTTCAGTTTGCCCCTTCTTTTGATACCAACAGTCCCGTTGTGAGTGATTAGGAATTCGACACCTCCTGCACTTATGAAAGCAGTCCTTCGAATCATGATTGGACTTCTTGCAGATAATGCAATATGGGCTGCGTGCTGGTTTTTTCTCAAGATTCTCGTCCCTGTTCTTTGGAACAAATTCTTTCTTTCGTTCTCCTCCTCGGTTGGGTTGATCGCCTCTATAAAAATTCCGTCTTTGTGGTGCATTTTGGTGAGACTTTGCTGAAACAAAAGTCTTCGATTGAAAGGCCTGCTCAAGGGACTGATTTTGAGCTCTTTCAATCCTTTGTTCGTGAGCCCGAAGCGAGCTCATCAACTCATGAAGTGACATCACAGACAAATCTTTGGATTCCTCTATGGCAGCAACACAATGGTCGAATTTAGGAGGTAAACTTCTGAGAATCTTCTCGATTACCTTCTTGCTTTGGATGGTGTCTCCAAGACTTTCAATGTGATTGACAATGTCAACAGCTCTTGTAAAAAATTTACTCACATGTTCACTCTCTTTCATCGCCAAGTTGTCGAAGTCCCTCCATAGAGATTGAAGGCGAATAGAGATAACTCTATCATTGCCCTGAAACTCCTCCTTCAACACGTCCCATGCATCTTTTGCCTTCTTTTTATTGAAAATCCGTGGATAAATTGTCTTACCCACTCCTTGCTTGATGTAGCGAAGTGCAGTGCAATCCTTTTTCTTATTTTCTTTGTATTGTTTTTGCTGAGCGTTAGTCCAGGCTGCAGATGCACCTTCTACAGGTGGTTCTTCAAATCCATATGCAACAATATCCCAAAGGTCATGTGAAATGAGGAAATCTTGCATTTCACTACTCCAATAATTGTAATGATCGCCTTCAAAGATTGGAACCTCACTCGGGGAATATTTAAACATGGTACGAACAGAACTGGACATTGTTTTCAGGCTCTGATACCAAATTTGTTGGGTATGATAGATAGTAGAAGAACTTGCAGAAGAAAATATTACGTGCTGCTTACTATGCTTTTTTGGATAAGTTCTTTTTTCACTCACAATGAAGTAAGGATTGCATCCATATGTATAACCAAGAGACTTTCTAGACAACTCCATAGGACTCTTGATCTTCGTGCCATTACTTCAGGGTATTATTATTGGCAATTACTAGAACTTAAAAAATTCATATTAACTATTCTGAAAGTTACAAGTTATTGTTTCAACAAAATGTTAAGTTTTGCTCAGCACTATACTAATGGATCCCTGAATCCTCTACCATTGGTGTACATTAGTTGGCACAAAGATCAAACTGGTTGTTTGTATTCCTCCGAATGAAAATATGCGTAGATGGTTGAAGATTACTTCTGAAGAATGAACATCAACAGGGCAGTATTAAATACATATAATTCTCAAAGAAGCTTTGTAGGTTTCATTGAATCCCTCGTTAATCTTCGCAGCCAATGTAGAATGATGTCTGCGTTTTGCAAGCTCGCTCCACCATCTTGCTTTAATAACGTACCAAGGGATTAGTAATATATATATATATATACAATCATATGTATGGAATTATACAACTATAATTTGGACCTGTATTATCATTTCCATTCTCTATAAAAATAACCTAAAGACAAAAAGAGAAAAAACAGCGAGCTGGTGTTTCTTTTTGTTGACGAACTGTCCCAATAAAAAAAAAAAAAAAAAGAGAATTAAAGCCCAATTTGAAACCCTAATTTGTGTGCAGTAAGAGAAAGGTGTGTTGCCCTAAACGAAGAAATGCAGTTGAGGTCAGGCGGCGCAATAATTATCACAAAATATCTTCCACGTGACGTTGGCCCTCTCTATAAAACTCCTGTGTCCATTACCACTCTTCACACCCTCAAAACCCATTCTTAGTTTGTATCGCCATTCCAACACCGCTGCTGCAGGTAACAAATCTGCCCACAGACTTGTATATATATACCAATGATTCTGCTTGACGATATTTGCAGTGTCTTTTCTTTCTGTAAAGCTGTTTGTTTCACCGCAGAATTGTTGATTTCTATCTTGCAGATCCCTTGAGTTGTGCCTCCTTAATTTAATTTGTTCATCTGAAGGTAATATATGGTTTCATGTCCTGGATCTGATCTCCACATCTTTCTCTACTCTATCCTTTCTCTTTTCACAATCTGGACTTTTTCTTTTATAGAAAGCAAAACTAGGGTTCTGATATAAGAGTTGGTAGATTTTTAAATGATTTCTTATGATTATTGTTCATCAATTTGGGGTCTTTTCAAGGAAACTAAACTTAAGGAGTTTTGATTTCTTGGTTGATCTACTTTCTAAATGATTCTCAGATTAAAAATTTTACAATCGATAAGATGAGCATCAGATCTAATTATAAGAAAACCACATCTGATTATTTTACGACTTTTCTTACATAATATTTTCTTTATTTTATTTTTTTTGTTTAAATTAGATCTAATCTAAGCTGTAGTTTTTTTTTTAAAAAAAAAATTATATACTCAATCCTATAGAAATGTCTCGTTTGTGTTTGATTGCAGCGTAAGAAGATCAAAAGCCAATTTACACGTGTGCTCCTAGAATACAACTCGATCCATGGCGATCAAATCAGGACCATGATGGAGCACATTGTGTATGTTCACAATGGATAAATGATGTATCTATGGTCAGTTATCAATGAAAAAAGCTTATATAAATATTGTTTAATATATATATATATTGGTTCATGGGTTATCAAATCATGGGATTTGGAATGGCAGTTATTTCGAAACAATTTAAAGTGTGTTTACCCATGTGCTCCAAGTGATTTTTGAATGTTCTTGTTTCACTAATCTTGGCGTCCATCTTACATGCATTCCATCTTACATGGATTTCATGCGGCTTTTTTCTAACATCTAGGTAAATCAAGTTTAAACAAAAACCAAAAACCAAAAAAGATGGCTTATAGACGTCATGAGGGCTCCATATCTCACCTGACAGAGAAGGAGTTATCACCATCAATTCCCCGTTTTGTCGGTGTACTGGATGATGCTGATGTCTTACATGCACTGGTACTCTCTTATTCATGTTGAATTTTTGGACTTTTTATTCTTAACATTTGGGGGAATGTGCTTGTAATCACATTGTACTACGTGGTGTCTATTATTATGGGATGAAAACATGGTTTGGCGAACAATTATTGAACTTTAAGTAATTTATTATATTAAGCAAGTATCCTCTCATCACCCACCAACTTGTTGAGTACTAATGTTTAGTAGCGAAATTGTTGATCTGTGCAGATGAAATTCTTCTATAATTTCTGCAACTTTTATAAAGCATGCATCCTTGTAAAAAATTTTGTATTTTTGCAGCGCTTGCCATCTTCATTTGCTCCAAAGGATTTATGTGGACATATATGGCCCGTGGATAACATGAGATTCGATCTACATCAAAAGATTTGCAGCTATCATCAACGTTCTTTTGTGTGGATAACTTATAAACAAAATAAATTTATAGTAAGGATCAATGCCTATACGTGGTATAAACGAGTAATGCATGTTAAATGTCAAATTTTAATACTTACTCCATCTACATCATACCTTTATCTTGAGCCATGTACCTTACATTATGTTGTTTCCATATCTTGAGTTGGCCCAATCGTAAAATCAACAATTGTAAATGATAATTACAACCCAGAAAAAATTACAAATCTTATTTGCATTCCCCAAACTAATTATTTGAAAAGAGTAGAATTGTAAATGTATAATTTTGCTGTTTTTCCATAGATTCAGCTAGGCTATAGCCAGAGCTCCCAAATATATATAATATTTATTTGATGATTTTCCATACATGCACCTATGAAACAATAATTAAGCAAATCAAGACAAATATCAGTAGAATCAACAAATATAGAATTAAGGCATTCTCCATAGGGCCCTCCTATCTTTTTCTTCTACGAGCTGAGGTATTATAAAACATTATCTAACTACATAAATTTAAACCATGGCATGACATTGATGACGTACAAAGAAGACAAGAATACAACTAAAAAAATATTTTCAGATTCATTAGAAAGAAGTAAATGGTCATCATGTTGCTCCCAATAACGATCAAATAAAGGCCTCATTTCACTTCTATAGCTCTAATAAGATAAATAGGATCACAAGAAGTATAAAAACATAAAAGAATTATATAAATTATTTTAAAAATTGGAACAAGAAGATAAAGCATTGAAACGGTCAATGCTAGAACATATTTGCTTTCATTTTCATTTATTATGACAACAACTCATCATTCAATCCTATATATTTTGAATATGCAGCATAACAATTGTCGATCAAGGCAAAAATTGTTTAACTCAACAATACAAACCCATCAATCATATACATTACGTTTCACTTTAATGATAGCTCTTTCGTGCCCTGTTAAAATATTTTGTAGGAATATCAGAATTGCATATATTATTCATATAAATTAGTCAGTACCTTGGAGTAATAATCTTTCCAAAACCTGTGGGCAATCTGATGACCTCCCAAAATCAAAAGCTTTGAATTTGTCTTCCCAATACTCAACTCATTTTAAGTCTGGATATTGAGTTAGCTGGTGCTGCACCAATTTCTTTTCATATCCAACAACTTGAAAGTCTTAGCATCATTACCATTACATTTTTATGAACTTCACTATATTTGTTGATAAAAATACTTTAAAAAGAACATATATGAAATAATTATAAAAAAACAAGCAAGTCTAACAACAAATAATAAAAAAGTCTACAGTTGCACGAACAACATATTAAGCATATATATATATATATACTAGAAATAAAGAAAATAATTTACAATTTTGCTTTCATTGCATTTTTTTAGTGTGTGTATATATGTATGTGTCTATATATATATATACTAGAACTATCCATTTCTCTAACTGAGATTTGTTACTTTATAGATAAATTAGAAATAAACCATTACCTCTATAGCAGCTAACACGCCACATTGCCCACCCTCATGTTGCACTAGCCCCATTGATGTCTGTGGATCGGTGCTAAACCTATAAGGAAGATTGAGTTTAAAGAGCATAAGATTGCAAGCGCATTATGTGTGAAGGGACAAAAATAGATTACATTATTTGATTCTACAGAGACTCAAGAACCATTAAAATACCATAATATTGGTTGCACCATTGCTTGCATTACAAGCAATTAATAAGTATAGCAAGTAGGTGTACTTTAGAGGTTATATAAGAAACATTAAAATACCATAATATTGGTTGCACCATTGCTTGCATTACAAGCAATTAATAAGCATAGCAAGTAGGTGTGCTTCACAGGTTATATAAGCAAATAGGTATTGACAGTGCAAAATGAATTACTTCAATAAATAAGCATAAACAAACAACAATAGAAATCTTATGAATGTCATTTTTAAAATATGGGTCATGTTGGTAGCAAATTACTTTCGTAACCACGTGACAATAAATGAGTTGACCAAATCCTCCAGGAATCCGATACTGACTCCCTGAGTGCCAGAATCTCAATAATACCATTAACTTAAGAAAAAAAGATTTGCTATGTAAGTCGGCCTCTGAGTTCCCAAGAGCAATACCGTAGGAATTGATTGTGATTATATCAACATACCAGTCATATAAATAATGCTACAACATCATTTTAAATTTGCTGTAATGGATAGGAACTTTAAAAAAGCTTCAGCTATATCATGAAGACATAATGATAGCACTTCAAGTAAATCACGAGGGAGATAATGATGGTGGACAACATAGTTTCTTGGAAATTCTTGGAGCCATTTTGAAACACGTGCATAAAAATTTCAGAGGATTAATATATATAGAGAGACAACTTGTGAAATCAAAGATACTATAATTTCATTTACAGTCATATATATATATATATATGCACATTGTAACAAAAAAGAATTTAGTGTGATAAAACTAATTAATCTCCTATATGAACTTTACTTTAGGATATTATAGCACTTTAAATTTACAATGTCAAAATGATGGTGCATGCTATGCCAAACCAAGGCCAGCTCTCTTAGTATGGGAGCAATCCATAGAACAAGGCAATTGATTTAAATCTACCTACTTAAAAAAATATACATATCTAAATCTGCAAAATTTCTCATCTTAGAATCTATTGTTGCATTTTTGCAATCTAGAATCATTGATTCATAAAAAAGACATTCCATTCCACAATACAGAAACACAAATAATGCAAAAATTATTAAACTATCACACAAAATTAAACAAGCCAAGGATCCAAACTGTAACATATGAGAGAATAGAAAGACGAACATAGTAGAGTGCAATTCCACCAATGAAAATTGTGTTTGTAATTCTCATTATGCTGCAATCACCCAAAACTGATGACAGGAAGTTCCAATGCATTTCAAGTAACCTAAATCAATTTAAAATAGCTATAAATCGTTAAAATACCTTCACTTTTCTTTAGCCAGCGCATGATGTTGCTGGTCTTCTTCTGTCTGCGAAAGTTCCCATGGCATCGGGGCGGCTCAGAGACGGAGATTCATGGTGGATCGCAGGGAAGATCGGAGCAGGCAGAGATGAACCGAAATCGACAAAGTGTCGGAACTAGAGGGAGAGTGAGGGAGAGGGCTGTAATCTATATTATATAATATAATATATGTGTGAAAAGTTTTTTAGTTTTTTATTTATTTAGTTATTTTTAAAATAATTTTATATCATCTTTTTTATAATTATAATATTTGAATAAGAGATAGAATGGTGATTATTTAATGCTTTACAAATTTGATTTTGTTTTAAATATATATATACATACATAAATTTAGAGTTTTTTTTTTTATATTTTAATAGTATATTTTTTGATATATTTCTTATTTCTAATTTGGGATATTTTTTTTAATAGGACGAATATTTTTATATTTTTATTAAAAATATTTTCTTTGAATTTTTTGTTTGGATGACAAGCGCAACAAATACATTTAGAACAACATATTGTAACATTTTTATTTGTTACGAACAAATTACTGTAACAAAAAAATAAAACATTGACCAAAGTAAAAAACATTTTGTCACGACATATTTCGTTACAAAAACCACTAGTTGTTTCGGAGCTATTGTTACGGATGAGAAACCCGCTATAAATAGGTCATTTTCTAGTAGTGACAGTGGAAACATCAACAACGGATGTGCCTACACTCGAATTGTGGCAACATATATGATGTTGCCAATTTGATAGACTCGCAATATATCAAAATATTCAATTTTCAGATTGCTACAGAGATTTTATGTCACGAGAATATCAAATAATTATCGAAAAATAAAATTCAATATGAAAATAATTTATCAAAATAAATTGATAATCAAAATAAATCGAAATAAATTCAATAATCAAGACATTTTTATCAAAATAAATAAGATAATCACAATAATTTTATCGAAGTAAATTCGATAATCCTCACAATAATTTATCGAGATATATTCGATAATCAATAATATTTTATCAAAATAAATTCGATATTTACGTCGAGTCGAGGTAGAATCTCTTTCTATGAAAACGAATACACCCCCGTAGTGCCTCCGGTTCGTGGTGCAATGTTCTAAAAAATAAAACGACGTTCGTCTCCGAGTTAGGAAACATTGATATAGCTACAAAATTTTGCTATAAAATAATTATATATCAAAACAGTTACATAATTTGCCACAAAAATATAATTAAAAAAATAAAAAAATGTTTATCCAACTATTTTCGTAGCAAAATTTGTCATGAATTTTTTCCATAAATAATATTGAAGCAAATTAGCTACATGTTATTTTTTGTAGCAAATTTGTGTTAACGTTTATTCAAAAATATATAAGCAACTAAAAAACTAAAAATATTCCTATCAAATATTGTATAATAAATTATCTTAACTAACCATTTAAAATCACAATAATTTGTACTATAAATATACATAGAATGTATTTATACTTCTTAAATCTTATTTTAAAATAAATTAATATTTCTACAATTTATTAAAGTATAATACTTATGGATAGATTATTTGTAAATTTTATCTATTTCTTATTATAACTTATTTTAAAATAAATTAATATTTTTTACAATTTATTAAAGTATAAGTTATAGATAATTTATTTGTAAAAACTAAAAATAATATGATTGAAATAGTCAAATATTTATCTATATCTATTATACTATTATAATTAATATACTTATTATGTAATAAATTAAAAATGTATATATATTAAGTTATAATATTTATATAATATACTTATATTATTAAGAATAAATTTTAAATTGTCAAAAGTTTATCTAATTAATATAATCAAATTAAAAAAAAAAATTATATAAAGTAAAAACTTTTATCAAAAACTCTTCTTTCTCTCTTCTTCCTTTCTATCTATTTTTCATTTATCTTCTTCTCTATTCCTCGCGCCTCTTTTGTTTTCCTTTACCAACTTTCATTATCTTCTTCTCTGTTCTCTAAGCTCATTTTTTTCTTTTTTCTGTAAACTGCATTATTTTATTTTTCCTTTTCCATAAAAGTCTATTTCTCTTATTCTTTAGTTTAAAAAATATAAATCATTATTCATTCATCTTAGTCATTGCAGGTTCCCAAGTATATATATATATAAATAAAAAGTATGCGTGTTGTTCATGAATTTAAAGGTAAAATCTAAACATTTATATTCTTTTTATGGTATACTTTAGATGTTGCTAGAAATTAATTGAGTATTTATTAATTTTTATTTTGTTAATATAATAATGTTTAGTTTATTTTATTTGAAGGAATACTCATTCATTAAACAATTTTATTTTTATGTATTATATGTTGTTTGAGTTTTCATGGAATCATAGTGTATATTGAATAGTTGGTTTTTGTTCCTTTTTACAATAATCTTTCCGTCCCATGAAATTAGTCCAATTTTTTTTGGGTACGCAGTTTTAGAAATATTGTGTTAAACAGTTAATTAGTTTGATTAATGGATGTATTAAAGTGTTATATTAAAAAAAATTTATTTAATAAAATGTTAAATTAAAAGTTAAAATATATATCTTTTTTAATTTTTAAATATTAAATTTTTTATTTAATGATATTATTTAAAAACAATAATAATAATTGTATTTATTGTAAATCAATCCATGCATTTAGATAAAAATAAATAAATTAATAACTTAAATGCAATTTATACAATAAAAAATGTAATAAAAAAATTTATATAAGCAATACATAAATTTTTCGAATTTGGTTGTTGTTAGAGATAGTTCGTAATGACATACCAAATTTAATACAACATCTCATACATATGCTACAAAAGTTTTGGTATGCTATTTTACCGTACCGTAGAAATATTTTGGTATACCGAATTTGCGAATAAAAAATACTGAATTACGGAAATAACATGCATGCTCGTAAAAAGAATACCGAAAAAAATTTCAAACTTTGATACAATATGAAATTTTTTGTATGATAACATATACAATAAAATATTTTCAGTGTATATAGATAATAAAAAAAATTGGTATTTTTGTATATATTGATTATTTGATACAATATCGATATCTTTTTTAATAAATTAAAAATTTTGGTATGGTATACAATACATTTCGATAATTTCGGTATACTATCTCAAACCTTCTCTAACTGAATTATATATACGATATTAGGATATAATATTTTACGTCAAATACCAAAATTAAAAATAAGTTTATAAGTTTGCTTTATAAATAAGTTCTATTTTTTTATTTTTTTGAACAAAGGAAAACAAAATCAATATCAAATCTCATTTTTAATTAATTTTTCAGCAATAAATTTTCAAATCAAACATCAAATTTTTATTATATATTACATTAAAATTTAATTTTAAATTAAATGAATATTTATTTACATAATATTAAATATTTATTATTTTTATTATTCAAAATTTTAGCACACCTTTTAAATTTACAATTAACAAATAATAAAACTAAAGATATTAGTAAGTTAATCAAATATAGTTAAGTTTTTTTATTTAGAAGCATTAGTTACTATTATTACTATAATAGGAAAATGGACTAATTTCGCGTCACGGCTAAAAAAAGAAAACTGGACTAATTTTGTGGGACCGAGGAAGTATTTTTAACTAATATTTTGTGAATTTTTTATTTTTCTTTCTCTTTTTCTATTTTTAATACTCATTAATTTATTTATTTTTTCAATTTTTCCTTTTTTTCCGTTTAAAAAAATTTCATATGTTTTTTTTTTTTGTTTTTTCAATTTTTTTGTTAATTTACTTTCACTGTTTTGTTTTGCATTCAAATTACTAATATTTTTTTTATTTATATTATTAGTTCTTTTTTCCATTACATGGTATGTCAACAATGATTTATTTTCTAATTTTTTTATTATTATTTTTTAGGATTTAGAAAATAGAAAAGCTATCGGATGTCAAGAAGAAAAGAAACGAGCTATTAGACAGCAATAAGAAAAAAAATGTTTAAATTGAAGATGAATGAAACACATATCAATGCCAAGAGCAGCATATAACTCAAAACTTTAAGAATTCAAAATTTATAAAACTTAGTTTCATGTGTATTTTTAGTAGAATTATGTAAATATATCTGATTAAATATTGTATTTATGTTACTATATGTATTTAAAAATATTAATTTTGTTAGTGTTTAGAAAATATAATGTTGTATTAATAATTTTTATTGCTAATATTTATAATACTGAATTCTAAAATTTAAATTTTGCATCAAATTTGTACTTCTATGCACATGAAAAATTAAAATATTTTATTTTAATTGTTTAAATATTAGTTATTCATGACAAAAAAAATTCAAATAAATGGTGGCAATTTATGTGGAAATTTTTTGTAAAATAATTATTATTTAGATGTTGCAAAATATATCAAACTTCTTGTTGTAACAAATAGTGTGTCAAGTAAGTCTCTGGCAAATTATATTGCAAATTGTCATGAAAATTTATGTTGCAAAATTAGTTACACTGCTTGTAGCCACTAAATGCATTTTCATAGCTAATTTTATAACAAATTCATTAGCTACATATATTTCTTAAAATTTCTATAGCTAATTTCATAGAAATATATGGATGTTTTGTTGTAGTAGCACCCCAATATTTCGAAGCTTCGACGAACTAAAATGAGGGGAATTCGAAGTATGTTGGGAGGCTTAATATTTAAGAAAGAGTTGTCGGATTTGTACCAGACAACTCATCGGAAACTCCGCTGGAAAATATTTCCAGAGATGAGAGGATTAGAGAGAAAGATCTTCTCTCGGTGGTGTATCTTCAAATAAGATGCACAACACCTTTTTATAGGCACTCTCATGGATGTAACGGTCAAAGATTAGTTGCATGCCAATAAATTGCAATTTTGAAAACCTACACAAGTAACAAACATTTTTATGCAATTTAATTTGCATAATATATCATGCATTAATCACTATTCTACAATTTAAAATTTTAATTTTATAAGCACAATATGTTATTAATCCGGTGATTTCTATGCATGTATTTCAAAAACCTGTATGTCTGTATAAACTCAACATAAGTTATATTTTGTATTATGCATACAATTA